CCAATATTATGATTCAGTGCTGAGATTTGAATGTTTAGTAGAGTATGATACAAATGTATCAAATGTATATGTTAGGATTATAATAACTATATTATGACTTCTTTCTTCTACCCATAAAAACTAGCACATCAGGAGGTAGTTTCTTGGAGTCTTTACGTGCCTGATGGACATCTGTGTGTGTATGTGTAAATACAAGTACAGACCTATTTGTACATTTCATTTTCAACTATCCTTGAATTAGTAATTAGTTATTGGATTTTCATATGGACAAAAAGATGGATTAATATTTATGCCAGTCTTCCTAAACTGATGTCCTCTTCTATTATGGGAACTGACATCCAAAGCATCTAATGGGCACCAAGTTGGGATAGACTGTTCACTGCTTTCAATCAAACAGGAAGGAGAGAGAAGTGGTATTTGGTTAAAAATACATCATGGTACTTTTAAGCTGTCATCTTATGGTCCCTCTGAATTGCTTTGTTGAACATGTATATTATGTACAGAATAATTCATTCACGGAAAAATGCAACACACTTGGAAAGAAGAAGCCACCTGCTTCTTCCGACCTTGCAAATTGTTCACTTCAGCAGCATCATTCTCCAAGAGTTCTCCAAGAAAAGTATTTTAAATCCAAATAAATATTTGTATTACACGATAAAACTATCCCAGCAAATTTTGCCTTATGGGCAATGGAGGCTCTCTGAGTAGGGTTGCCAGGTGTCCACTATTTGAGCGGACAGTCCACTTTTTTCACATTATGTTCACTATTTTTTTTCACAAAATAGTGGACATTTTTTTTATTCAAAAGCTTTACTCAGCAGATAATGCATCGGTCAATTATGGAGTGAACAAATCTGTTTACCAAAAATTATTGCTGGAAAATGACAATATTGTAGCTGCTCATTGCAATAATCACATTTTACACAACAGTGCAAAAAATGCATTAAAGCAGTTATCTTTTGATATCGAAAATGTAGTGCTGAAGGTTTTTGCCAAATTTTCGAATTCTGCGAAGAAACGAGAAGAGTTGAAATCATTTTTTGAGTTTTGCGAGTCAGAATTCCATGAAGTTTTGCGCCATGTTCCAACATGTTGGTTAAGTTTGTTTAAAGAGGTCGAAAGACTTCTTTTAAACTGGATATCTCTAAAATCATATTTTATTTCTCTTGGATCTGATGAGTGCCATAAGGTTATCTGGAACCTTATTTCGGATCAAGAAAATGAACTCGCAAAGGATGATGAAGCAACAATTTCAGAATTGTATTTATATTTCATGCACTTCTTCATGTCAATAATGCAAGACACCCTACTGAAGCTGGAAAGCAAGAAAATTCTTGCATGTGATCTTCACATTATCATGTGTAAGCTGTGTGATTCTCTGCAAAAAAAATACGATGAACAGTTTTTTGGAATGAAAGTTTTATTTGCCTTACGTAAAAAACATTTGCCTGAGAATGCTGTGTAAAAGTTCAAGAAAGAAGCTGTCAACGTGTATCAAAGAGCCATTGCATACCTAGAAAAGTGGTATAATTTTACCGATTCAATATATGAGATGCTAAGTTTTTTCAATCTAATTGATCGCAATAATCCTCCAACTTTAGAAGAAATGACGAACATCTGGTTATTATCACCATGGCGAGAAGAACTTCCACCCAACACTCTCTTCGATGAAATTTCTGCCTTAGAAGAAGTTTATGTTCATCTGCCGGGCGATTCATCCCTTGATAAGTGGACGTACTTTTTCAAGAAAGAGCCAGCTCCGAGTTTACTGAAACTGTTCCAGTATTGTACATCAATTCCAGTATCAAATGCAACGTTGAACGAATTTTCAGCATCATGGGAAATTTGTGGACTGACAAACGTAATCGACTGCTTGTACCATCAGTTTGAAGTGAACTTTGTATATTTTTTAATATTTCTCAACATTGTACTGAAATTAAAGAATTATTCCTTAAACACAAAGAATTGATCAAAGCTATGCAGTCAAATAAAAAATACACACAACAGCAAAGTAAAATGTAATTTAATATTTTACATATTATTATAATATATTTGATGTTTTGAATTTTAAGTAAAGTTTTGAAGTGATTATTTTAACGTGTTAAAATGTTTGTAAGAAAATATATAATTTAATTGTAATTTTTTTTATTTTTTACTACTTAACCCCCCACCCCCACCTCCCACTTGTCCGCTATTTTTTGGAAGCAGACCTGGCAACCCTAGTTATAGGCCCAAAAATGACAGTTCAAAACTATGTCCTTTGTCATATGTGACACACACACCCCTTTTGTGAGGTAAGGTTTCTGCTGATACCATTAAAAGAATGATAATTCTTTTCCTTTGTTAGCATTTAAAGATAGAATGCATCTGGCTATATTCATTCCACATTTTACAGCATTGCAGACCTGAATTCTGCATCAGCAGAACCACCCAAAATAATTCTAAAAACTAAAGTCTTGTTCATTTATTCCAATTGTAAGTCCCCTAACAAGGATTTAATCTGGAAGATGTGGTTGAGAATATATTGACATGCAGGATATCACTTAATTGTTTTCATGATTTTATTTATATTTTAAAACACTGCAAATATCTGTGTAAAGGTGAAGGTCCCCTGCACATGTGTGCTAGTCGTTTCCAGCTCTGGGGTGGTGCTCATCTTCATTTCTAAGCCGAAGAGACAGTGCTCTCCGAAGACGTCTCCATGGTCATGTGGCTGGCATGACTAAACGCCGAAGGCACACTGAGTGCTGTTACCTTCCCACCAAAGTGATTCCTATTCTTCTACTTGTATTTTGCTTTCAAACTGCTAGGTTGGCAGAAGCTGGGATAAGTAACAGGAGCTCACTCCATTATGCGGTGCTGGAGATTCAAACTGCTGAACTTCTGATTGACAAGCTCAGCATCTTAGCCACTGAGCCACCGCATCCCTTATATCTGTTTATATATGTATAAAAAACCTTCTCCCTCTCTGAAAGTGTTGAACCAAGCTTACATAACAGATGAGTTTTGTTTTGAGCTCAGTACACTGCTACCTTAAACTTGAAACATTTTTTGCAACCCATTATAGAAATCAGTAGCTTAGTTTGGCATTATTACAAAATCATAAAGCAACCCATAATCTGAATGTACACTAAAATATTTCTGTAACAGTCCAACTAGTCATTGTAAAATTAATTAGCTTTATAGTGTCAAAGCAAATTTGACGTTGAAAATTAAGGAAACAGAAAAATAAGTTTTTAAATGTCATCAACACTCTTAATGCTTAATTGTCTATATCAGTGGAGCAAAATAAAATTATTTTTTAAAAAAACTTTTAAAATATTTTACCCATTTACTATAAAGTTGAACACATATCTTACATCTTACATCTTAAAATGCAAGCTGAAATATGTTCTTGCCAATATCCAGTGATACTGGATTCTCTACTAATGAATAATATTAAAAATATGTTTGGAAAAATTATTATTCACTTAAGAAAATTAAATATTCTTAATATCCTAAATTGGTTTTAGGATTATCTGTAATTAAAATGCTACATGTTACTAAGATTGATATAGTTCGATATAGATACAGGAGTATGAGATATTAGAATTGTGATTTTCATTCAGGCAATTTGGCTTTTAATGGCCAAATGATTAGTTGGATCAGCAGTTATTCAGAACTCTACTTTCAAGAAATGCTTTCCAACCTACAATAACTTCAGAGTGAATGGAAGTTTTTTTGATAAAAGAGGAATTGGGACTATATCCTCTGTATCCTCAGGATTACAGATAGCTTCTGGAACCTCTTTATGTGACCCACATAAGCTTGTTTGAGTGGTTGCTGAAAGTTGATGATAGAATTTCCCATGGTGGTGCAGTTGTTAGAATGCAGTTGTTGTTGTTAATTGCAAAGTCGTGTCCAATCCATCATGACCCCATAGACAACGTTCCTCCAGGCCTTCCTGTCCTCTACCATCCTCTGGAGTCCATGTAAGCTCACGCCTACTGCTTCAGTGACTTCATTCAGCCACCTCATTCTCTGCTGTTCCCTCTGCTGTCTTCTTTTGCCCTCAATCTTTCCCAGCATTAGGCTCTTCTCCAGTGATTCCTTCCTTCTCATTAGGTGGCCAAAGTATTTGAGTTTCATCTTCAGGAGCTGGCCTTCTAAAGAGCAGTCAGGATTGATCTCCTCTAGGACTGACCGGTTTGATCGCCTTGCAGTCCAAGGTACTTGTAGGAGTCTTCTCCAGCACTATAGTTCAAATGCCTTAATTCTTTGGCGCTCAGCCTTCCTTATGGTCCAATTTTCACAGCCATACATTGCAACTGTACACACTTGACTATACACACTTTTGTTGGCAGGGTGATGTCTCTGCTTTTTAGTACGCTGTCTAGATTTGCCATACCTTTCCTCCCCAGGATGAAGCGTCTTTTAATTTCTTGACTGCAGTCCCCATCTGCGGTGATCTTGGAGCCCAGGAAAATAAAATCTGTCACTACCTCCATTTCTTCCGCATCTATTTGCCAGGAATTGAGAGGGCCAGATGCCATGATTTTAGTTTTCTTAATGTTGAGTTTCAAGCCAACTTTTGCACTCTTCTTCTTCACCCACACCAAGAGGCTCTTTAGTTCCTCTTCACTTTCTGCCATTAGAGTGGTATCATCTGCATATCTGAGGTTGTTGATATTTCTCCCAGCAATCTTAATTCCAACTTTTGATTCATCTAGCCCCGCCTTTCTCATGATGTGCTCTGCAAATAAGTTAAATAGGCAGGGCAACAGTATACAGACTTGCCGGACTCCTTTCCCAATTTTGAACCAATCGGTGGTTCTGTGTCCAGTTCTCACTGTTACTTCTTGACTCACATATACGTTTCTCAAGAGACAAATAAGATGGTCTGGTACTCCCATCTCTTTAAGAACTTGCCACAATTTGTTGTGATCCACACTGTCAGGGTAAATGTCTAATTCTCCCAGGCAGGGGCTGGCACCTCCCCATATCCCATCATACCCCCTTACCTCAGACTCCTCCCCTGGTGTATAAAAGGATCCTACCCGTGGGCATCCAGCAGTTCCAGATGTGTGTCTGCAAAGACAAGACAGAGGTCAGTGACCTTTACCCAGAATTGAATAAAGAATCAATGAAGAGATACCATTGTCTCCTGTGAGTTATTGGGTTAGATCCACCCAGCATTAACAAATTGGCAGCAGAGGATGGTTGCCCATAACTCTAAAGAATGACTGAACAAGCCGTTCACTCTGATAAGAAGAGCAGAGTAAACACCATGGCATTCACCAAGAGGATGGCTGCTCAACTGACACCCAAAGGTGCCATGCCAAGAGCCACCCCAACTGGAAGTGGACAGGACATCAAGCAGGGCCCACTCCTCTACAAAGAGAGACCACGGGAGGAAGCAGATGACCATGAAAGAGAAGAGCCACGAGAGGAAGACGAACTGAGAATGGCCCTGCTGAAAATGATGGAAGCGCCCATCAGCAATGGAGAGCTCATCACAAAAATCCAAGGCCTCCTAGAAACCCATGGAGCAGCGATGAGCACCCAAGAACAGGCCCAAGAAGACGCCAGCCCGGTAAGGGAAAGGGATTCCCTCGCAGAGGCCCTGGACATAGAGGGGCTCAGTTTTGCGCCAATTTCCCAGTGGCCATCTTGGAATGGCCAGCAACCAATGGGAAGCCAGGATTTGAATCCAATGGTGGGAACCAGCCAAGGCCCTGAAATGAATGAGGGGCACCCCGAAAATAACTGCAATAGACAAGTCCAAGTAAACCAGAACTTGCCTAGCGTGCTCGAGATAGAGAAAGCAATAGAGACTCTAGCAGCAGCCTTTGGCTCCACATTCAAGCCTCCCGCACCAACCGCAAGCCGCAAGGAAAATCTCGAGGGCCAAGAAGGCACCAGAGTGACCACCAGCTACGAGACACCAACTCTATCACTACAAAAGGGGGCAACGTGCTTCCACGATGAACAAGAAACCCCGACTGCCTATGGAGCAGAACAAAGGCAGGACTCGAACTCACCACCCGCCTCACTAACTACGAGGGATCCAAGAGAAGAAAGACGCGTCAGCTACCTACCTGCTCCGCGACCTCTGCCAGGCTTCTCCAACCGACCAGGGGCCAGCACATCCGGATCAGGACCAGCCATCACCACCACCGCTGCTGCCGCACCACTGATCCTCAAAAATCCTCGACTTACGACCGTTTCGATCCCGAGCCTCCAACCATTCTTCGCTGGGGACTACACAGCCCAGCAGTGACTTCCAGGGTCCCACGATGCATCCAGACCCACCAGGGGTGAGTCAAGTGCTCCACCAGCAGGCCTAGCCCTAGGCCTGAGAACTGCAGCCATGAGCTCCCCTCCAGACTGCCTCCAGCATGAAATGGGCCTAGCACATACTCAGATGCCACCTGCAGGAAGAGAAGGGAGGAACACAGAGATAAGTCAGAACATAGAGACAAGTCAGTACAGAATAGCCATTCCCATGCCATATTGTGAGTTCCCTCACTCACAAAACCATGGACAGCTACCCTCTGTAAATAACCATTCTAACAATTCTGGGGCTTTACCTGTCAACTTTCCCAAACTGCAAATAGATGGAAAAAATCTTCTAGAGTGGAGTCAACAGCTGCAGATAGTTTTTATGAAAGAAAACTTACTTTTCCTAATATCAGATCCACCCCAGAAACCCTGGACTTTTGAAATTGACTGTAACCACCACAGGGCTTTTTGTATTTTATTAACCAGTATTTCTCCAACTTTGTACCCAAGCATAGGGAATCACATGACAGTGCATGAAGTGACACAAAAACTTTATAACCTTTTTTACAGCAGAAGTAGAGCAACCACAACTAGGATTTCCAGAGAATTCCATTCTGCCAGACTTAGACCAGGGGTCCCCATGAGTGAACACCTGTTAAAACTTAACACAACCAGGACTGAATTAATGCATAGGGGTGAAGCAATCACTGAGGAGAGTATGATGAGTATAGTCATAAACTCTTTAGACAGTAGCTGGTACAACTTTGTGATGCAATTGGACAGCCTCAGTCTAGAACACTTAACATTAGACACACTCACTAACCACCTTATTGCAGAGGATAATTTAAGGAGGGACCGCCACATGTCAAGAAAGGACCCCAGACCCACCAAAAGGGTTGCGTTCCAGGACAGGGGAAAGGTTGCCCCAGAGTGTTTTTCCTGTGGGTCCAGGAATCATTTAAGGAGGGATTGCCCCAGAGGTGATAGGGACAGGGGATATAGAGAGAGACGGTCACCAGACCGCAGACATTTCATGGAACGGGGATGTGGGTGGTCACCCAACCCTAGAAAAAGCAGTGAACACAGGGATGTTTCCAGAGATAGCAACCCAGGGATCATGTACAGGTTCAGGCATGGTAAAGCAGACCCCAAGCAGGGGATAGATGAGAACATGTGGCTTCTGGATTCAGGAGCCATTAATCATACAACACACAACCACAATCTATTCACCTCCCTTGTAGAGACAGACTTCAAGATCAGAATGGCTAACCAGAGCACAGCCAAGGTCATAGGGAGAGGGAATGTACATATACCAGGGGCTGGGGAAATAGAGGGGGTACTGTACGTGCCAGAAATACCCCACAATGTCTTAGCCATCGTAAAGCTCACAACAGACACAGACACAGAGGTAACATTCAAGGAAGGCAGGGTACAGATACTCAACCAAAGAAAAAGGGTTGGCAAGGTAACCACACATGATGGATTACTGTACTTTACACCCAGTGAGAACAGCGAGGGAAGTATAAACACAAGCATCACCCATGACCAGTGGGAAGACACTGAAACTAGAGGGGGACCCCAGGAGGAAACAAACACTGTGTCACCAGGCAAAAACAAGGTATCCGTGGGAAGACCCATCCACGACAATTGTGCCCACCTCCTTCACAGAAGGCTAGGACATATCAGTTTCCCGGTTGTAGAAAAAATGCTAGGATGTACAGAGGGTTTGAAAGTAAAGGACTGCAAAAATTATTTGGAGTGTTCAGTGTGTAAATCTTCAAAAATTAAGGTCAAAGCGAGGCCCAAAAGGTCAGAGCGCACAACTGACCACCCATTTCAGCTAGCACACATGGATTTAGTGGGACCACTGAGACCTTCCATTGGACACAGGAAAAGGTTTTTCTTAACCATAGTAGATGACTACAGCAGGTATGGCTGTGTGTACTCTCTCAAGCATAAAAATGAGACATTCCAAAGGTTCAAAGACTTTTATAAAAGGGTGGAACTACAACATGGGGTGAAAATCAAACAGATAATGACTGACCGGGGCACAGAATTCATGCCCAAGGACTTTGCAAAATGGTTAAGGGAGAGGGGCATATTGCATTTTAGCTCCACCCCTTTTTCCCCCTTCCAGAATAGGGTCTCAGAACGAAAAAACGGATTGCTCCAAACAATGATGAGGTGTGTTTTGGAGGACGCTGGAATGAGCCAATCATTCTGGCCAGAGGCATTACACTATTCAAATTACACACTAAACAGGTTGTGGTCAAGCTCAATCAATAAAACCCCATACGAATTAATGTACAATAGAAAACCCAACCTAGCCGACCTACCCGTATTTGGTGCCCCAGCTGACGTCCACATTCCCCGACAGCTAAGGAAGAAGGGAGAAAAGGTGTCAAAAAGACTAAGGTTCATGGGCTATGAGCCTGGAACAAAGGGGTTCAGATTTGTGGACTGCAATAACAAATTCATTGTGTCCAGGTCTGCGGAATTCCATGAGCACTCGAATTGGTCAAAGCTCCACTGCAATGACATTTTCCTTGGCAGAGACATGCAACCACATAACTAAAGTGACAAAGAACTGTCCACCAGGGGGCCAGAGGAAACTGAAACAGATAGACCCAAACACCAAGAACTGAAAGCCGAGGAATGGAAAGAAGGACACCCCACACTGAACCTAGATAGCCTCACCGAAAAAGAAGCCGAATGCCTGCATGAAGCAGATATGCCTCCAGACAGACCAACTAGATCTAGTAGGAACAAGTTACCAAAGAGACTAGAGGACTACGTCATGTCCATACACACAGAGCATTTCACACGCAGTTCCTATGAAGAGATACTCAGCCTCCCCCAGGAAGAGAGGGAAAGGTGGAAGCAAGCCATTGAAAAGGAGATTGAGAGCCTCCGAGAACTACAGGTATACTCGCCAGCTCAAGCACCTGAGAACAAAAAGCCAATTGGGACCAAGTGGGTGTTCAAAGTCAAAACACTCGAAGACAACAAAATGCTCTACAAAGTGAGGTTGGTCGCACAAGGCTTCGCCCAAAGGTACCTGGAAGATTACACGGATACCTACTCCCCCACAATCAGGGCTGAGAGTGTCAAGAGCGCCCTAGTGATTGCCACCATCCTAGGGCTGGAAATATTCCAATTCAACGTGCAAACCGCATATCTACACGCAGAATTGGATAAGGAGATCTATGTTAAGGCCCCACCAGGATACAATGATGGAAAGGACAACACATGGCTCCTGAACAAAAGTTTATATGGACTCAAACAGTCTGGCAAGAGGTGGTACGACTGTCTAGCCAAAGCTCTCAACACCATGGGCTTCAAAGCCACCTCTGCAGACAAATGTTTTTTCACAAAGAGAGAGGGAGGAGCATTTGAAGGTGTTCTTGTGTATGTGGATGATATATTGTACATAGGGAAGCAAAGGGCCAAATGCGATAAATTTGCCACCGAGTTAGGAAATCATTTCTCTCTGAAGTCACTAGGGAAGATAAACAAGTACCTAGGGGTGCAAGTGATTAAAACTGACAAGGGCTTCCGGATCTTACAAAGAGAGAAAATCATGGAACTGTTATCCAAATGCAACATGTCAGGGGCAAAACCCTGCGAGACACCCATGCAACCGGACTTCATAAGGAGCATGTACAATGAAGCTGAACTTTCGTTGACAACAAGCTATACAAGTCAACAATAGGCTCGCTACTCTACATCACCAACTGGACAAGGCCTGACATCGCTCTGGCTGTCAATCTACTGTCCAGACATGTGAGCAAGCCCATTGTCCTGCACTGGGATGCCATAAAAAGACTGCTCAGGTACCTGAAACACAGTGCCAACGCCCAGCTGTGCTTCGAACCAGACCTGTCCGAGAAACCCAAGTTAACCTGCTATGCAGACGCTGACTGGGCCAGGGACACCAAAAGCAGAAAAAGCACTTCCGGGTACGTAGTCTTCTTAAACAATTGCCCCATACATTGGTATACGGGAAAACAGAAGCTGGTGGCCACTTCTACCACCGAAGCCCAATTCGTCTGCTTATCAAAAGCCGCAAATAACCTAGTGTGGTTTGATGATTTACTTACTGACATCTGGGCCAAACCAACATACCCCATAGTCATACATGAAGACAACAAGGCAGCTATAGAAATATCAAAAGCAGATGCTGTGGGATAGAGATAGACATAAAGGCACATAGACATAAAATATAAACACGTTAGGCAATTCTCAGAAATGGAGTTCATTAAAGCCATATACTGTGACACTGAACAACAAACAGCAGACATACTTACAAAGCCACTACCTCAAAAGCAACACGCATATCTCACATCAAAAATATGTGTATATATGTAGATCATGTGTTTTATGTACCTAACATGTATGTTCACAGATATCATATGTCCGCCGTTAATTAGACATTTAGAGGGGGATTTGTCAGGGTAAATGTCTAATTCTCCCAGGCAGGGGCTGGCACCTCCCCATATCCCATCATATCCCCTTACCTCAGACTCCTCCCCTGGTGTATAAAAGGATCCTACATGTGGGCATCCAGCAGTTCCAGATGTGTGCCTGCAAAGACAAGACAGGTCAGTGACCTTTACCCTGAATTGAATAAAGAATCAATGAAGAGATACCATTGTCTCCTGTGAGTTATTGGGTTAGATCCACCCAGCATTAACACACACAATCAAAGGCTTTAGCATAGTCAATAAAGCAGAAGTAGATGTTTTTCTGGAATTCCCTAGCTTTCTCCATGATCCAGCGTATGTTGATAATTTGATATCTAGTTCCTCTGCCTCTTTGAAATCCTGCCTGTACTTCTGGTAATTCTCGATCCACATACTGCTGGAGACTAGCCTGTAGGATTTTAAGCATAACCTTACTAGCATGTGAAAAGAGTGCAATGGTGTGATAGTTTGAACATTCTTTGGCATTGCCTTTCTTTGGAATTGGAATGTAAACTGACCTTTTCCAATCCTGTGAGTTTTCCAAATTTGCTGGCAAATTGAGTGTAGTACTTTTATTGCATCGTCTTTGTTGTTGCTCAGATTTCCTAAGGCCCATTTGACTTCACATTCGAGGATGTCTGGCTCGAGGTCAGTGACCATCCCATCATGGTTATCCGGGATGTTAAGCATCCCGGATAACCGTTCTTCTGTGTAATTTTGCCACCTCTTCTTAATCTCTTCTGCCTCTGTTAGGTCCCTGCCATTTTGGTCCTTTATCATGCCCATCTTTGCATGAAACGTTCCCTTTATATCTCCAGTTTTCTTGAAGAGATCTCTGGTCCTCTCTATTCTATTGTTTTCTTCTATTTCTTTGCACTGTTCATTTAAGAAGGCATTCTTATCTCTTCTAGCTATTCTCTGGAATTCTAGTGTATCTTTCTCTTTCTCCCGTGCCTTTTGCTTCCCTTCTTTCTTCAGCTATTTGTAAAGCTTCCTCAGACAACCATTTTGCTTTCTTGCCTTTCTTTTTCTTTGGGATGATTTTAGTTGCTATCTCTTGTACAATGTTGTGAACCTCCATCCATAGTTCTTCAGGCAGATCTGTCTATCAGATCTAATTCCTTAAATCTATTTGTCACCTCTACTCTATATTCATCAGGGATATGATTTAGTTCATTCCTGAGTGGCCTAGTGCTTTTCCCTACTTTCTTCAATATACGTCTAAATTTTGCAACGAGAAGCTCATGATCTGAATCACAGTCAGCTTCTGGTCTTGTTTTTACTGACTGTAAAGAGCTTCTCTATCTTTGGCTGCAGAGCACATAGTCAATCTGATTTCTGTGTTGACCGTCTGGTGATGTCCATGTGTAGAGTCATCTCTTGGGTTGTTGGAAAAGAGTATTTGCTATGACCATCGTATTCTCTTGACAAAATTCTATCAGCCTGTGCCCTGCGTCATTTTGTACTTCAAGGCCAAACTTGCCTGTTATTCTGGTTATCTTTTGACTTTCTACTTTAGCATTCCAAACCCCCATGATGATAAGGACATCATTTTTTGGTGTTAATTCTATAAGGTGTTGTAGGGCTTCAATTTCATCCTCTTCAGCACCAGTTATTGGGGCATAGACTTGTATTACTGTTTGCATTGGATTCAAACTGAGATCATTCTGTCATTTTGGGCATTGTATCGCAGTATTGCTTTTCCTACTCTTTTAGTGATTATAAAGGCTACTCCATTTCTTCTGACTGATTCTTGCCCACAGTAGTATACCTGATGATCATCTGAATTAAATTCACCCATTCCTGTCCTTTTTAGTTCGCTGATTCCTAAAATGTCGATGTTCAGTCTTGTCATCTCTTGTTTGACCACATCTAGCTTGCCTTGATTCATGGATCTTACATTCCAGGTTCCTATGGAGAATAGATCTTTACAGATTGACTTTCTGACTTTCCTTTCACCACCAGATGCATCCACAGCTGAGCGTCCTTTTGGCTTTAGCCCATTCGCTTCACTCTTTCTGGCGCTACTTCCCGGGTAGCATATTGGACACCTTCCGACCTGAGGGGCTCATCTTCCGGCATCATATTTTTTTTCCTTTAGATACTGTCCATGAGGTTTTCATGGCAAAGATACTGGAGTGGGTTGCCATTTTCTTCTCCAGTGGATCACATTTTGTCAGAGGTCTCGGCTATGACCTGTCCATCTTGAATGTCCCTGCATGGCATAGCTCATAACTTCATTGAGCTATGGAAGACCCTTCGTCATGACAAGGCAGTAATCCATGAAGGGGTAGAATACAGTACTGCAGGCTAACTCACTGCCCACTGCCAGAAGTTTGATTCTCACCAGCTCAAGGCTGACTCAGCCTTCCATCTTTCCAAGATCAGTAAAATGTGGACCCAGATTGTTGGGGGCAATATGCTAACTTAGATAGGGCTGTAAAGCACTATGAAGCGGTAATCCAAGTTCTATTACTCTTGCTATTTTAGATGGAAAACATACTACAGTGTAGGGGGCCCTTCAACAGGCATAGCACAGGTTAACAAGGAATCAATCATCTCAAAAATGCGGTTAATGTGGAAATTTAAAAAACAACAACAGTTAAATGTGAAAAAAACTGTTTATTCTGTGGTATCAGTCTATCTACTTGCATCATTGTTCCCCCCCCCCCCCCCGCGGTGGCCTTTGTCTCCCCAAGCTATTGCTATGGGCCACCAAAAAATTATCCACTTCTTTGTTGAAAAGGCATATCCAATTGATCAGTTGATCTCCTCTAATTGTTAGCTATAAAACATGTCTCTTGCTGTTTTAGAATTCAAGACTTCAAGGGAGGAATAGCAGAAGGCAAGCAAAATATACTAGAATATAAGAAGACAGTTTGATAAATATTGCTAATTTATAGTATATCAGTTACCATATATGGTCATAACTAATAAATTAGTTGGACAAAATCTGAGTTTCAAGGCAGTTAAAATACCTTGTGTTCCTAGATTTATTACTTTCACAACAAAATATTTATCATATACAGAATTTCTGCTTTCTATTTCTTTCAGATTATTGGAACCATTCCACTAATGCCTAATCCAGTCTCATCCAATCAAGCAGCAGGAGGAGCTCAGGGCCTTCAAGTACAGCCAATTACACCACAGTTACTGACCAATGCCCAAGGTCAAATCATTGCAACAGTAATTGGAAACCAGATATTGCCAGTAATCAACACACAAGGAATCACATTGTCACCTCTCAAGCCAGGCCAACAAGTAAATGAGCATTAATGCAGCCATTAAGCTGAATATTAAAGATTAAAGGGGTCATTAAGCAGAGTATCCCATTCCCGTCCCTTGAGACTTCTTAGCTTGGGCCTGCTTCCCACTGAGCATGCAGGATTCACACTCTAAAATGGTGTTCTCTTCCAGGAGTAAGTTTAAGGACAAAGTTGTTTGCTCTGCTTCCCTAATGTGGCCTCTTTGTTCCTGGGCTGTGTGGAACAATCCCATTTACAGAATGGCATTGCATTGTGGCCACTCCAAAAGTGGAGGATACTTCTGGTTCATGCCACACACTAAGGAATGGAGCATCCTGCCCCCAATTCGTAATTCAAACTCCAGAGATCTTTGAAAGATAAGTCACAAAGGTGACACAGGATGAGGAGGCCTGCAGGAACCCAGTGAGGGGGAATGGTGGAGATAGGTGAGGGGTATTAGTCACATCTTCATTTTATTACTGAAAATGTCTTTGTCTTTGTCTGTAGCTTCATCAGCCCTCTCAAGCACAAGTAGGGCAAGCAGCCTCACAGACCAGTCTTCTACACCTGACTCATAGTCAAGCATCTATATCTCAAAGCCCAGTGCGCCAGGCTTCCTCTTCCTCCTCCTCCTCTTCCTCCTCCTCTTCAGCTTTGAGTGTTGGCCAATTAGTCAACAGTAAGTACTGCCCTCTTGTCCTATTTTCTCATTTGTCTACTAGTTTCTCGATTTACTGTTTGTCTTGCTTTTATATGATTTTATATTATTGGGAATCTGTGGGAGGCAATCCTCTATGACTTTTCAATGACTTATGAAATGCTGTCTCAAAGAGCCTTTGGGACAGTGAATGCAATCAGAATACTACGTTATTCTGTGTAAGATATAGTGCAATGGGGTGATATATTGATTGGGCAGCATGGTTTGTTATTTTATTGTTGTTATGTGATTATTGTAAATTGACTAGATTGAAATAACATAAAAATCTCTATAATAAATAATTAGAATAACTAATCAATCATTAATTGCTAAGTAATACAAATAGAAGAGGCACAGAGAAAGTGTAAGCATGAAATGTTTTGGACTAAATTCAAGTTAGAAAATATTTATGCAGTGTGCATTAATTCTTATGATATTATATACTGTATGTGATCAGAAATAAGTGAATCAAGAAATACTGCTTTTTATTTTTTAGGGACTGTTTTCCTATCCAGCAGATTTTTGATTTTGGAACTGAAATATATCAAACTGAATTCCTATTGTAAGAGCTCCCACTTATTAAGAAGTCTTACAAGTCTTCCCCTATCCTACACCCTCCCCAACTTCCAGCACACATTACAAATTTGCCTCACATGACAAGAAAACAGCTTTTTTAAAAAGGTGGTATAAAATTAAAGCAGTGTTTCTCAACTTCAGCAATTTTTAAGATGTGTGGACTTAACTCTCCAATTCTAAGAGTTGAAATCCAAGCATCTTAAAGTTGCTGAGAGTGAAAAAAACACTGAACTACTGTTTTATTGTTTACTTTTCAAACATGACATATGCAAGGCAAGAGAATGTGGAAGTAGTAGTTCTCCACACAAATAAGAGCCATAATGCCTGGATTTAAATTAAATGAAAAAATATGAATACACACATACACATACACACATACATAAATGTATATGAAGGTAGGTGTATGTGTGTGCGAATGTGTATTCATATTTTTAATTTCAATGATCCATTGGGTTTGTGTGTGTGTGTGTGTGTGTGTGTGTGTGTGTGTGTGTGTGTGTGTACACACAGTCACACATAAATGTATATGTAGATGTAGAAGAGGACAACTTGCAGCAGGGTGGATAGACTCAATTATAGTGGTAATTGGTACCCTGTGGAAAGAGACCAGATTAAGAATATATCATCATAGCACATGATGAATTAATCAATCAACCACACTATAACTGCTAAGGCAAACATTTATTTATTTATTTACTTATTTATTTATTTACTTATTTATTTATTTATTTATTTATTTATTTATTTATTTATTTATTTATTTATTATATTTCTATACTGCCTTTCTCCCGTAGGACTCAAGGCAGTGTACAGTCAAGAAAAATATATACACACAAACATCATAAAATTGCTAATTAAAATTATTACTTAGTTTGGTCAATTAAATAAAACCCAGAATTAGATAACATTTAAAAAACATTTATAGTCACTTTTCTATCCCTTTGATTTCTTAAAGTCCTAGTCCTGCTTTTCAATGATTTTAGTCAAGGAATGAATATTAATAATTAACAATGATTAACACATACATTTTATGGGAAAAGATTCTTCTTCTTATGCCTCCTTTTTACGTGATTCTTGTCTCATGGAAAAGAAATAAAAAATTTTGAGAGAGATTTTAAAAAGAAGTCTACCTACCTACCTATAACCTTATAGGTTACAGAAATAATAAACAAAATAATGACAAAATGTGTATCATGATATTATGTCATAAGTTCTGTCTGTTCATATGTGCACTGCAACATGGCACACAAATACATATGGGGAAGAGTTTGCACCACAATGCATGTTTCATAACTTGCCTTCCCTTCCCCCTTCCCCATGTCCATGCCAACACTATCAGTAGGAACAAAGATTGAGGTTGTAAATATTTTTAAACTACTTCTTACTCTTAGGGGCAGGGGGGAAACCTGAGCATAAATATAGTGTCCAGTATTGAGATAAATATTGCAAAAACCAGGATAGTGGCTGAAAAGTGGCAAATTATATGGGTTATTTTTTGCCAGTTCAGCAAAGAAATTCAGTATTGTTATGTTAATTTTGTTCAGTGTATATGCATGTTTCTGATATATTTGAGCAAGAATGCATAATTTTTTCCCTTTTCTTCCAGATGGGACCTCTTATTTTCTCTTAGACTACATCTGGGTGCTGAGGTGATTTGGGATAACCAAGAAATCTGTGTTTTCTATGATGTTGTAAAGAACTCCATTGTTAAAGCACCAGTATCTTATGTATTACTTAGAGAAATAGAATGCAGGATGAACCAAATGGCATTGAATGAGTAAAAAGCCATTGAATGAGGAAGCATTTTTTTATTAAATATTTGTCACATCAAGTGCCAGTGGCAAATTATCTCAAAAAGCTAAACAGGGTTCAACCTGAATTGGGGAAGACTAAACAAGCCCAGGAAAATAAAAATAAACCAAAATAGAAGGCAATAAGTCTGTATGGTAAATATAACGTAAGTTCGACACAAAGGAGTCTTTATTTTTGATTTTGACATTCCCTTCAAAACAATACCCAAAATTGCTGCATTGGTTTGCAGCAATTCTCTGATGTATCATTTGATTAATGAGGATACCATTGTCTAATCTGAGCTAAACTAAAATACAATTTGCTTTCTTTCATGTAGTTCATCACTGATCTCAAACACTGTTTTAGGATTTTGAATAACTTCCTGAGATTTCAGCCAGGGATGCTAATCAGCAGGTTCTGACAAGTTTTGGAGAACCAGTAGCAGAAATTTTGAGTAGTTCAAAGAACCGGCAAATACCACCTCTGGCTGGCCCCAGAGTGGGGTGGGAATGGAGATTTTGCAATATCCTTCCCCTGGAGTGGGGTGGGAATGGAGATTTTGTAGTATCCTTCCCCTGCTGCGCCCACCAACTATGCCCACCAAGCCATGCCCACAGAACTGGTAGTAAAAAAAATTGAATTCCATCACTGATTTCAGCCCTTGAGGACTGTAGACACAAATGTAAAATATAGCTTGGATCCCAAGTTTTCATGCTGGAAAAAGATACACCAAATGTATCAGTATCTCAAGGTCAGGCTTATCTATCTTGTTGGAGGCTTTTTAGTCACCAGAAGAACCTAAAAGGTTAGATCTATTTTTTGTTACTATCAGCCTAATTTTTATTAAAAGTGCTGCCAGGCACAACATCTATAGTTTCAGGAAAAACTGCTTCAAGTGCTTTTGTGCAGTATAACATCCAAGTCAGGGGTGGGTTCTATTTACCTTTACTACTGGTTCACAACGGGAGCGCAGCACAGAAGCTTCTGCACATGCGCAGATCCTCCATTATGACATCTGGGTGGATGGGCGGAACCTCCCACTGCTTTTACTATTGGTTCGCAAGAACCGGACAGAACCGGGGACAACCCACCACTGATCCAAGTAATGCAAAGATTTCATTATATTTACTGATGAAAAAGTTTGTTGGTCAACTGAAAGACATATTAATTCTAAATTCTGGCTGAATATATTCATTTTTCCTCATCTTCAAAGCAAAAAAATACCTGTAGCGGAGGGGAAAAAGGCCTACCTCAGTATAGGTCATCAATCTTTTTATGCAGCAAATATTTAATATTTGGCTACTGCAATTAGATCAAGAAAAGACTTCTGCTGAAATCTTGGCTAGTGGCTGCTTATTAATATAAATATGTGTTTCTCTACCAGTGTGTCCAGAGGTAGTTTTCCTTTATCAGGGTTCTTCCCTAATTAATCTCTTACCTATAAAGATGAGAAAGTGCCATGCTGTGAAGCCATGTGTCAGCCTTCAGCTTTAGCTTTATTTTCAATGGTGTCTCTTGTCTCATTTGGGACTATAAGCTCTCACAAAAAATAAAAATGATGACCAGTTGTAGTAGCCTGGTGATAAGTTTAAAGGTGAGTCCTACTGCTCAGAAAAAATAAAAGCAAGCAGGAATATTGGACGCCTGGAGAGCGGTTGGAGGGCCAGTCTCGCTGAATCTGATCGAACACTGGTAAGGTCGCATATTAAGGCCTACCTAGTGGCGATAAAGACGGCAAAGTCTAACTACTTTTCCGCCTCTATTGCGTCATCAGGGAATCATCCGGCCGCCCTGTTTAGGGTGACCCGCGCCCTGCTCCATCTGGGAGTGCGGGAGGATCCCTTAGAAGGCAGGGCGGAGGATTTCGGACAATACCTGTATGACAAAATCGCTCAGATCCGGGGGGATTTGGACTCTGACTGGGTAGATCAGGGCAGGGTGACGAGGAAGTCTTGAGAATGTTATCTGGGAGGAGTTTGATGCTGTGACTCCCGATGATGTGGACAGGATTTTGGGGAGACTTAGTGCGGCCACATGTTTACTGGACCCGTGTCCCTCCTGGTTGGTACTGGCTTCCCGGGAGGTTACATGAGGCTGGCTCCAGGGCGTCATTAATGCTTCGTTGAGTGAGGGTCAGTTCCCCGCTGCCCTGAAAGAGGCGGTGGTGAGGCCTCTCCTCAAGAAGCCGTCCGTGGATCCAGCAATATTGGCTAACTATCGTCCTGTCTCCAACCTTCGCTTCATTGCGAAGGTTGTTGAGAGTGTGGTCACACAACAGTTTCCACAATTCCTGGAGGAAACATCCTATCTAGATCCGTTCCAGTCGGGTTTCAGGCCTGGGCACAGCACGGAAACGGCATTGGTCGCGTTGGTGGATGATCTCTGGAGGGCTCGGGACAGGGGTTATTCCTCTGTTCTGGTCCTATTAGATCTCTCAGCGGCTTTTGATACCATCGACCATGGTATCATGCTGCACCGGCTGGAAGAGTTGGGGATGGGAGGCACTGTGTTGCGGTGGTTCTCCTCCTTTCTCTCCGACCGGTCGCAGTTCGTGTTGGCAGGGGGGCAGAGGTCGACCTCGAGGCCTCTCATTTGTGGAGTGCCGCAGGGATCGGTCCTCTCGCCCCTTCTGTTCAACATTTATGTGAAGCCGCTGGGCGAGATCATCCGTGGCTTTGGGGTGAGATACCACCAGTACGCTGATGACACCCAGCTGTACATCTCCACCCCAGGCCACCCCAACGATGCCCTTGAAGTGATGTCCCAGTGCCTGGAGGCTGTGCGGATCTGGATGGGGAGGAACAGGCTCAGGCTCAACCCTTCCAAGACTGAGTGGCTGTGGCTCCCGGCATCCCGATATAGTCAGTTGACTCCATCACTGACTATTGGGGGCGAGTCTTTGGCCCCCACTGAAAGGGCTTGCAATCTGGGAGTCCTCCTGGATAGGCAGCTGTCTTTGGAGGAACATCTGACAGCTGTTACCAGGGGGACCTTTTATCAGGTTCGCCTGATTCGCCAGTTGCGGCCCTTTCTTGATCGGGATTCCTTGTGCACAGTCACTCACGCCCTCGTCACCTCTCGCCTTGACTACTGCAACGCTCTCTACATGGGGCTCCCCTTGAAGAGCACCCGGAGGCTCCAGCTGGTCCAGAATGCAGCAGCGCGGGTAGTGATGGGAGCAACATGGCGCTCCCATGTAACACCGCTCCTGCGTGAGCTGCACTGGCTCCCGGTGGTCTTCCGGGTGCGCTTCAAGGTGTTGGTTATCACCTTTAAAGCGCTCCATGGCATAGGGCCTAGCTATCTCCGAGACCGCCTGCTGCTACCGATGACCTCCCATCGACCCGTGCGCTCCCACAGAGAGGGCCTCCTCAGGGTGCCATCAGCCAAACAATGTAGGCTGGTGGCCCCCAGGGGGAGGGCCTTCTCTGTGGGGGCTCCCACCCTCTGGAATCAGTTGCCCCCGGAGATAAGAAGAATCCAGGACCTCAATGCCTTCCGTCGTTCCCTGAAAACCTATCTTTTTCAGCAAGCCGGGTTGGCTTAAGAAGAAATTTTTAAAAATTTTTAAATTCTTTTAATTAGTCTGTGATTCTTAACTTTCGGGCCAAAATTTATATATATTTTTAAATGTTTTAATATTTGTATTCTATGTTTTTTATCTTGGCTGTACACCGCCCTGAGTCCTCAGGGAGAAGGGCGGTATATAAATTGGAAATTAAATTAAATTAAATTAAATATTAAAAGGTCTTAAAGAATAAGGAGGAGGGAAGGAGAGCAGATATCTAAGTGTGGCATAATAGTCATTTTGACAATGGACAAAAGATTCCCAAGAGCTATTTTGTATGAGCATATACATACTGTTGTCAAAAATGTAAGAAACCACTAAAGTCAGTAATACTGAATGCTACACATAAAATTATAATAAAATTCTGCAATCTCTATACTCCCTGCATATCCTATATGCCCTAGGGAAACTCCAACAGATGACCATGAAAGTAGACTTGACAAATAAGGAAGGCCCAATAGATTATTTTTTCCCTTTTGCTACAATTGTTAAATGGAAGGAAGATCAACTGGTACTTCACAAGTTCTGAATAGGTTAGTAAGATTTTTATTTATTTGTTTTTACTATTAAAAGCAGCATAGCAGAGATTCATGCTGATGAACATAAACGATGGGACAGAACCAAGAGCAGATATGAGTGCTGGTATAAATGAGAATGCATTTATAGATGGATTTTTATAATTGCTGATAATATGTCAACAAAAATAGCTTCTCTACAATCACTAGTCTAGGTTGAACAAATTGTGAGTCTCTGACCTACTCATTCTATTCTGTAGCATTTAGTGAAAGCAGGGAAATTGTTTGGGAATCAGCCACAAAGGAAAGGTAATTATCTAGAACTATAAAATGTGTTTCATTATATGATAGACGATATTTTATGTATTTCTGTTTGTTTCATCTGTTCATAATGCCATTGAGACAGGTAGGTTGAGTAGAATTTTTACAATATCTCTAGTGATGTCTATCACAGACTATCACAGACATTCAAAGACCAAATTCTCATTGGTAGACATCATCTAATATTAGTCAGTATTTGTTTGTTTGTTTGTTTGTTTGTTTGTTTGTGTGTGTGTGTTTGTTTATTTGTTTGTTTATTAGAATTATAGACCACCCACCTGGAGTAGAGATCTTTATTCAGATTAAATATAAACACCTAATGACATACGTTTAAAGAAATATGTTATTATGTGAGCATCTTTGCTATCTCTAAGAATGATATGAAATATATCATATACAACAAGAGTTTCAGTACATGCAGAACTGAATAACACTTTCAAATCTTCCACCAGATTATTGTCTGCTGCCTTTATCAGTCTGGAGAATGCTTCATTTATCAAGGAATCAGTTGCAGAAAGAGAAGGAGATGCCATTCCCAGCTGCTATATCATTTCCCTCAATAAATCCTAAACTGATAATGCTTCTAGCATCAAAAGAGTCTTCCTCTAGTAGATAGCTTTTATTATATCCCCTTTTGGGACAAAACTGTTGTCAAAGAAGTCCAATTTATTTTCTCAGCACTATGAATATTATCTACTGAGGGGCCAATAAAAATGAAATGGGGGTCAGTGTTACAATTGGAAGGCTGGACTTGCACATACCTAGTTCCCAAACTGGAAATTCTCTGGGATGATATAGAAATAAAATATTTTACTGAATCCAATATACAAACAAACATACATACATACATCTCTCAGTTAAAATGTCCTTACAACTTTAAAATGCAAGTACTTTAGATGCTACACAAAGAATTTCCATTTGAAATTTAGGAATTCCTTTTTTCCAAAACAAGACATACTGAATGCTATTAGAAAAACAATCTATAGTTCTGAGTAGCTGCTTATGTTACCTGAAATTCAGTTTGTGAAAAAAGTGAAGGTTTACAAGTCAAGAACTCAATATGTTGCAAAATAACCTGACAATATCCATTGTTTTATTAAAAGTGTTCCTCTTTCTGTTCTTTTTCAACTGAAGATGGGAAACTTGTTATTAATCCAAAACACGCTTTATCTACCTTTCTACCTTTCAGGTATGCTGTTTGCCTTGCAAAACTATTTGGATGTAGGAAGCTTTAGCTTGCTTTATTGGAAATAATTCCCTTAATTTAATTGTATAGGATCTGAAGACATTCAAATTGTTTTCTATTATTTCAACAGATCCCCAAATAGCCTCTAGTGAGGTGGATGGGGTGAATCTTGAAGAAATACGAGAATTTGCCAAAGCTTTTAAAATCCGACGCCTGTCTCTTGGTCTCACTCAGACACAAGTCGGTCAAGCTCTAAGTGCCACAGAGGGTCCAGCCTACAGCCAGTCTGCCATCTGCAGGTAACAAAATGTATAGTCTGTGCTCAGTTCTCCAATCTTGTTCTCTTAAGGCTTATTGCTTACTGCCTTTATATTATAATTTTATCTATATGTCCAGCAGAGCAGCCTTATATGAACAAACACTGACATATTTTATCACCTGGCTTTAACACAATTTTCATCTTCCCACACCCAAGAATTTATTTATTTATGCAAAAACAAATTTGGAACATTAAATATGTTCCTGGTCATAAAATTTAAGGCAGCATGGAGTTGGAGACCCTGTGGCTGCTGCTATCAAACACCAGTTAAGCTTCTTAAAGGTAAAGGTTTCCCCTGTCCGATTTTAGGGGGCGGTGCTCATCTCTGTGTCTTAGCTGAGGGAATCAGTATTGTCCAAAGACATTTCTGTGGTCAATGTGGCTGGCATGACTATACTCTAAAGCGCGCAGAACACTGTTATCTTCCCACCACAGTGGTACCTGTTTATCACCTGTATTTGCATGCTTTCAAACTGTGCATTTTTACTGGTGTGAATTCTGAACAATTATTTCATATGCCTACCTGCTACATTTCAGCCTGTAATGCCATAATCCATGTTACCCATAAGATGTTCATGGTGGTTTTTATAATGCTGATGAGGTGAGGAGAGGGCAAACCAATGAAAATATTTTTCTTGGGATTTCTAGAATTAATTATGTATCTTCCTAAAATATTTCAAAAGAAAAATATATATTTAGAAAAAGGAGAATAATATTCAAGAGCATAGTGAAAAATCATGAAAATACAGTAGCCTTGATAGAGTTAAAAGTATCTTGAAAGCAAAGCACCTATGTATGTTACTAATCCTATGTTTATGCATGAAGTAACAAACCCACTTAGGTAACAGATTTTTCCTCTTGGGCAATGTAGTCTTATAGTTCTCCTCCATCAATGAGAGCCAAGAAATGAACTCTTAAGTTCATTTAAGTGGATTTTGTTCTTGGTGATCCATGAAATGCTCTTTTTATCTGCTCTTTATACTTCTAATGTATTCCCCATAGTATGGAAGTGTACTTTTCCTGCAGTTTAAGACTAAGGTTATAAATAACATCAGTATGGGGTAGTGAGCTTGCAGCTCACATTTTGCTCAATGATTTTCCATAAAACCCATTGATTGTTGTTAAATACAAAAAGCTCCATAGGACCCTCTCACTTCTATGGTCTCCCCTACTGTTTTTTCTTATAAGATACCTCCCTGCAGAAAATAACCTTTATCCAGTGTATACAAGGATACAACTGCTAGGAAATTTGTTTCAAGACTTAGATATTGTTATACCAAAGATCACATACAGAAGTACAAATGATAACAAGATACTTCATTAATATGAATCTGGTTTTGTCATTATTTAATTGTAATGTAATTTATTTTTCCTATGGCTAGTTGATAAATAAAACGAGAACTAGCAGGTTTTGTTTTTTAAAGCAATATGTTCAGTATTGTTATATTGCCTTACTTTATAATAATATTGTATCTTAATACAGAATATTACATTTTCAAATCTTTCATAGGTTTTTTTAATTTTGATTTACCTGAGATTTTTTGGGAGGAGGGGGGGGAAGGTTACTGGCTAATGCAGTTTCTAAAGACTCAGGAAGCTTGGAAATCTGTGGTTTAAAGTCCAGTGAACCTGAATTATTACTGATGCTGATAGTAATTTAAATTTAAACTATTAATGACCAGCAAATATCACTTAATTCAATTCCATAACAGGGTTGCAGTTACATATGATAGGAAACATGTAAGAAAATTATTATGAAAGTTGCAACTATAGTAAAAGAGATGAACAACTTACAACTGATTTCTGTATTCAGAACAACATGGAGAAAAATGGCAGAAGTCACTCCATCATTAAGCAATCAAAAACTACTACAGATAGAAAGGATTTTCCTCTCTTTGGGTCCTTCAATCATCTTATAAAAAAGAGCTACTGCTATTTAGGAAGAATGACAAGCCTAATGCAAAGCGCAAAATTTTCATTAGTTGTGCAAAAAATCCAATAGGGTTGAGATCAAGACTAAGGCATAACATTATGAACCTATAAGCATGGCAAAGTTGTGTGACAGATCTGAGGAACATGAAAGAGGGGATCATCAGTGCATTAGTTAAGTTGAATGGATCAACTTAATGGTGTTTTCAGCTCCAGATCTTTTAATCCAGTAGAGACATGAAACTGACATTTAATGTTTGCCCAAGCAAAAAACTTCTAAGGCCATCACTAGAATTATGATTCAGAGGTTTTCCTTAATAGGGAAATCATTTATTTCGTTGTATTTCAAACCAGTCATTGATGGGTTAATGAGACCTGGGTTTGATTCAAAGCTACATTGTGAATTTTCTCTCAAATATTTGTGACAGCCTGAACAGTCCAAACATAATACATAATTTATTATTGAAAAAGGAGAGAAAGTAGTCTTTGTATTCATAGTTTCATTTTCCATCTCTGTCTCCATCTCAAAATAACAGAGTCATTACTTCTTACTCTACAACACACATTTCAGCTGACACATTTTATTTATTTATTATTTATTATTATTTATTAATTCAATTTGTATGCCACCTCTCTCCGAAGACTCAGGGTGGCTCACAATGCTTTTAAAATCATTATAAAAACATTTTAAAATTAAAAACATTAAAAATATTAAAACTCATTCACACCATTCATGGCCGGATCTCGTCAGAACGCAAGAGCGAGATCAACGGCCTCAGGCCTGCTGGAAAAGCCAGGTCTTCACCGCTTTTCGGAAGGCCAATAGGGTAGGGATGGTCCGGACCTCAGGAGGTAACTGGTTCCAGAGAGCTGGGGCAGCCACAGAGAAGGGCCTCCCCCGTGGGCCCACCAGCCGGCATTGTTTAGCTGATGGGACCCAGAGGAGATCAACTCTGTGGGATCTTACCAGTCATTGGGAGTTATGAGGTAGAAGGCGGTCTCGAAGATACCCTGGCCCTGAGCCATGTAGGGCTTTAAAGGTAATAACCAACACCTTGAATTGTGACCGGAGACCAATAGGGAGCCAGTGCAGCTTGCGGAGAATTGGTGTAATGTGGGTGTACCTAGGTGCACCCACGACAGCTCGCGCAGCTGCATTCTGGACCAACTATAGTCTTTGAACATTTTTCAAGGGTAGCCCCATGTAGAGCGCATTGCAATAATCTAACCATGAGGAGACAAGGGCATGAGTGACTGTGAGGAGAGTAGGGTCCAAGTAGGGTCTCAATTGGTGCACCAGGCAAACCTGTGCAAAGGTCCCCCTAGCCACAGCTGTCAGATGTTGCTCCAATCTTAGCTGTGAGTCTAGGAGGATATCCAAATTGTGAACCTGTTCTGAGGGGGACAATTTCTCCCCTCCCCCCAGAACCAAAGATAGACAATCAACATAGTTTTTAGGAGGCAATACCCACAGCCACTCGGTCTTGTCTGGGTTAAGTCTGAGCCTGTTGACTCCCATCCAGACCCTCACAGCCTCCAGGCACTGGCACATCACATCCACCGCATCACTGAATTGACGCGGGGTAGAGATATACAGCTGGGTATCATCAGCGTATTGCTGATACCTCACCTCGTATCGTCAGATAATCGCACCCAGTGGCTTCATGTAGATGTTAAATAGGAGGGGAGAGAGGACCGAGCCCTGAGGCACCCCACAAACGAGGGGCCTAGGGGTCGACCTCTGTCCTCCTACCAACACTGACTGTGATCAACCAGAGAGATAGGAGGAGAACCACCGTAACACGGTGCCTCCCACTCCCAGCTCCCTTAGTCGTCCCAGAAGGATACCATGGTCAATGGTATCAAAAGCCGCTGAGAGGTCAAGTAGCATCAAGATGGAGGAATGACCCTCATCTCGGGCTTGCCAGAAATCATCCATCAGCATGACCAAAGCAGTTTCCATGCTGTAGCCAGACCTAAAGCCAGACTGAAAAGGATCTAGATAATCCGTTTCCTCCAATGACTGCAGGAACTGAAGTGCCACCACTTTCTCTACAACCTTTCCCACAAAGGGTAGGTTGGAGACTGGACAAAAGTTCTTTAATTCTGCTGGATCTAGGGAAGGCCTCTTGAGGAGGGGCCTTATAACCGCCTCCTTTAATGGTTGCAGGAAGGCCCCTTCCCTCAAGGACGCATTAACTAAAGCCTGGAGTCAGCCTCATGTCACCTCCCTGCTGGCCAAAACCAGCCAGGAGGGGCACGGGTCCAACAAACAAGTGGAGGAACTTATTGGTCCTACCACCTTGTCCACTTCCTCAGGAGTCACAGGGTCAAACTCATCCCACACAATAGGACTAAGACCTGCCCCCATCATCTCGGTCGGAATTGCCCAATCAGAGTCCAGGTCTATCTGAATCTGAGCAACTTTATCCGACAGAAACTGCACAAACTCCTCAGCTCTACCCTGCAAGGGCTCCTCCACTCCCCCTACATTAAGGAGGGAGCGAGTCACTCTGAATAGGGTGGCTGGGCATGAATCCACTGATGCAATAAGTGTGGAAAAATGCGAACATTTTGCCGCCCGTATCGCCACTATCCTAGCATTGAATGTGAGATGATCTTATTTGAACTTCATAGCATTAGGAGGAGGTTTACTCCCAAACCATTAGCTTCTTTATATATATAAAATACAAAAATTCAAAAGCAAATAATAGGAAAATAATGGAAGGAAAAGGGAAGGGGAAAATATAGGGCAAAGGGGAAAAAGAAAGAAAAAGCGTTGACTTCCAATTCCCTTTGTTGCAGTAGAATAATAATTTCAATTTTTTACTTTTACATAATAATATAAACTAGCCGTTTCTATAAAAACAAACCTATTTAATCAAAACCCAAAATCAAAGTTTTATTTTTTTTCCACCTCAAGCATGAAGTCCAGAAGCGATTTCCAAGTAGAAACAAATGTAATTTTCTTTGACCAAAGCAGTCAGTTTGGCCATCTCTGCTAACTTCATCAACTTTTGCAACCATTCATCCATTGTAAGAATCAAAGTGTCCTTCCGTTTTTGTGCATAAAATAAACTTGCTATTATCTTTTTTTTTTAATTAAATTTTATTAACATAAACAAACGTAAAACACAAATACATGTAAACACTTATACATTAACAAAGAGTCAATCGACTGACTTCTAGAAAACCTTCGCATCGGTGGTTAATGTCCATTTAACCAATTTTCCTTAATCATACTATTTACAAATTTACTTGCTTATACCTTAATATATTCATTGAAGTTCAGCAGTATCTTTCTACAAACGTATTAACCATTTATTTATACAATCCTACGGCTCATCTCATGTATCTATTTCTACAATTCTTGAGTTATGTTCTCCTAATGTCCTATGTTGTTGGCCCTATCCTTCTTTCTAACCATGTGTACCATTTTTGCCAAACTAAATAAAAGTCAGTGTTCTCTTTATCTTGGAGTTCTTTTGTGAGCCTATCCATCTCTGCGCATTCATTTATTTTTGTTATTATTTTTTCTTCTGTTGGTATTATCTTGGATTTCCAATTCTGAGCATACACTATACGTGCCGCTGTCAATATGTGGATGGTAAGATATTTTATCTCCTTGGTACACTGTGGTGTAGTCATTCCAAATAGAAAGAATTCTGGTTTCATTTCTACACTTTGCCTCGTTGTTTCTTCAATTATTCTCTTAATCTCTTGCCAGTAGCATTGTGCCTTCCTGCAAGACCACCAGAGATGGTAATATGTCCCCATTTGTGTCTTGCACTTCCAACACATTGGTGATGTGTTTGGAAACATTTTAGCCAAACGTGCCGGAGGGAGGTGCCATCTATAAAATATCTTGTATAAATTTTCTTTGTATGGAATCGACAGTGTCATCTTATAATTTTCTGCCCATAGCTTGTCCCATCTGTCCAACTCTATATTGTGACCTATATTTCTTGCCCAGCTTACCATGTTTTCTTTCACTGTTTCCTCCTCTAATTTATACCTTATGTAAACTTGCTATTATCAATATATACTGTATAATATCAAAGTTCCAATTTTTTTCAAGTCTTTTTTCCATTAAACTCAGAAGAAAGATTTCTGTGGTTTTATCTTTATATTCACTTTGAGAATTTTCTATATTAAGATGTGAATCTATTCCAATATTTCTTTGCTTTATCACAGGTCCACTATGTGGTCTCTTCTTTACATTTACATTTCCAACATTCATTTGAAATGCCTTTATACATTCTTGACAACTTATCTGATGTTAAATAGCAAAGATCCATCATCTTATAAAATTTTTCTTTTAAATTATAATTTAGTGTAAATTTTAGAATGTTTGTCCATATATTTTCCCATTGTTTAAGCATTATATTACATTCAAATATATTTCTTTCCTACTGAATTATGCAATGCTGTACATATTCATTCTCCAAATTCAAATTCAAATTCAATAACTATTTATAGACCTTAGCAATAATGTGTTCATCACTACCATGCAGTAGGATTTCCAATTCATTTTTCACAATATCACCCATAACTACTTTTATTTTATTTAAATCTTTCTTTCAATAGTAAATATGTAAACCAATGACTGACATGTCCTTCTGTGTCTAATTCATCTTTAGATTTGAGGATAGGATCACCAAAGTTAAAAAATATTATTTGACCATAAGTCTACCAGTTTTGTTTCGCCACTATTTCTTTTCTGAAAAAAGCTTCCAGGGGAGACACCCAGAGAGGCATCTTCACAGAAAACCTTGCTATATATTTATTCCAAACTCTTAGGATAGCATGTCTAACAAAATGCTTATTAAATTCGACATTTACTTTAACCTTGTCATACCATAAATAGCCATGCCATTCAAATCTTAATTCATGGCACTCTAAATCAAGTAACTTCTTATTCTGAAGATTAACCTACTCTTTTAGCCAGAACAAAAAGTACAATACGATTTTAAATCTGGTAAACCCAAACTTCCTCTTTCCTCAGCATCTTGCAGTAATTTGTATCTAATTCTTGTTTTTTTCACTCACCATATACATTTAGAAATATCCATCTGTTATTGTTTAAATGCAGTATCAGTTGCAAATATTGGGAATGTCTGAAACAGTAAAGGCATCTTTGGCAATAAAACATTTGTCTTAATTACAAAAATTCTACCCATTCATGATAATTGCAATTTATCCCATTTTAGTAAGTCCTTTTTGATGATATTCTGTTTTTTTCAAGTTATTATTATTGAGATACAAAGTTACAAGCAATTTTTTTTTTGTTATTTATATGTATATTAATGATGGAGCACCAGCTGAGAGCAATCACTTTTCTGTGACAGTTGAACTTGAGATTGATAGACTATTCCTATTTTTAATCTCATTACACATTTTGCAAAGACATCTCAAGGATTAAATTGGACTTTTTCTGGGAATGAATGTAAAACGTTATAATCTTTGAAGTTACAACTAATGGATAATGTAAGACTTTAAAATGGCTTAATTTTAAGAGAAATAAAATCTTCAGCTTAGTTTAGAAATGTTTTTGCAGGTACTGCAAACTGACTTGTAAAATCTGGTCCAGTAAAAGAGTTTTGATGGTAAAATGAGACCTAGAGGACCTCATTTACAGGAAATGATAACATTTGGCACAGTGTGGAGACATGTCACAATAAACCCAGCTTGATGCCAAAGCACATTAGTTCACTATTATGCTGGGTTTTATCTGGAAGGCATGAGTTTCTCATAACACTACTTGTGGGGATATTCATGATAATTACAATGTGTCCAGCTGTTTGAACTGAAGATTGCAACTGCTTTGGAGATTTTGAAGGGACATGATGTTAACTTCTGACCAGTGAAAATTGTTTAAAAATGAAAATGAAAACAAAACCTGAATTTAGGAGGATAACAATCTCTCTGCAAAATTAAAATAGCAGTGTATACTTTAGAAAGAAAGTAATTCCCAGAAAAAAATAAACAAAAAAAGAGTCAATTGCTGTCATTTCCATTTCTACCATTTGTGTTCAGCTTGATCATAGTATATATTGTTTTGAACATGTTTAAATCTGAAACATACTGTATATCTTTAAGAACAGTCCCTTCCAGGAAGAGCGGTGCCCTTCCAATGCAAACACATAGTTCTTCTGGCTGGAGTTTCATCCATTTCAGTGAAGCCGGTTGACCTAGAGAAATAGACTGAAGGGCATGGGGTCAATATGCTTCACAGAAATGAACTGAGAGGTCCATTTGCACCAAAGATAAACATGACCCTCTGATTTCACATGAATCTCCAGACTGAAGCAACTAGTTAGATGGAGTAGCATTTTGTCAGTATGATTGTATTTGTCTGTCTGCTTGCTGAAATATATCAATAATTGTAGACATGATAATTTTTCATAATCCATTGTAAATTATCTCTGCCAGTCAATTAGGCAGGCAGACAGGAAGTCCCACCCTGGCAGAGCATCAGTGTAAAGACTCTTCTTTTTCAATTTTCCCCTCAGACACACCATCCTGAGAAGCCACTTTTTCCTACCACAGGAAGCCCAAGAGAACACTATAGCTAGCAGTCTGACAGCCAAACTGAACCCTGGCCTTTTGTATCCTGCCAGGTTTGAAAAGCTGGACATCACCCCTAAAAGTGCCCAGAAGATAAAGCCGGTGCTTGAACGATGGATGGCTGAGGCTGAGGCCCGCCATCGAGCAGGTATGCAGAACCTTACTGAATTTATTGGAAGCGAACCATCCAAAAAGCGCAAGAGGCGCACTTCCTTCACCCCACAAGCTCTTGAAATCTTGAATGCCCATTTTGAGAAGAACACCCATCCCTCCGGGCAGGAAATGACAGAAATTGCACAGAAACTGAACTATGATCGGGAAGTGGTTAGGGTATGGTTCTGCAATAAAAGGCAAGCACTGAAGAATACAATTAAACGTCTAAAACAGAATGAGCCTGTGACAGCAGCCCCAATGGAGCCCTTAACAGACTCTCTGAAAGAAGACTCTTAAATGGATAGATTTAAAGGGGAAAACCCCCAGACCAAAAAAAAAAATGGACATCATTATATACATTGGAAATCTGTAAAAATGCTTTTTCTCATCTTTGTAAGTAAAAGATTGAAAAAGCTACAAGATGGACTGAAGATTTATAAATATCTGTGGGATTTCCTAGAGAAAAAAAAACCCACAGCACTTAGGGTGTGTGTGCGTGTGTGTGTGTATGTTAGAACTAGTTCCAATAAGCCAATTTTTTTCTTAATGGACTTAGAAATAAACCAAATAACTATTACCTTTTCTGTACATTACGGACATGTGAACTTTGTTTGTGGAAAAAGAACACAACAACGACAAGGACAGCAAACATTTAAATGTTCTTAGGAAGCAAGAGAGTACACGCCTGCCACCTGGAGGAGTGATTGTAGTCTTTCAGGTATCAAGTGCTTCTTCACAATGAAAACTATTAACCAAAGTCAGAAATATGACATTAAAACTAGATTGTTGGTCAACTCTTTTGGGAGTGCTACATTGTGTTTTCAATTTTTACATTTGTCGTTTACAGAAAGGAAACAATAATAATTAAAGGACTTTCTTTCCCCCTGCACCTTCTCACACATACCCAGCACGTGAGTAAATTTCACTTGGTTTGAGCTACATTGCTCAACCCTCATGTTGATCATATACAGTTTTGTGATCTCCAAATGTTTGTGTGCCAAAATGACAGTTTCCCTAAACAATAGGTTTTGGGATTTGTAGACTTTATTTGCAATTAGAGTGATCTTTCATTTTAACTCACCTCCATCTTACTACCACTGAAATTTATTTAAAATACAATTGGTGTGGGTTTTTTTTTAAAGTACACAAGTTGTAATATTCAGTTCAAGGACACATAAAGTTACTTGAACTTTCATTTACTGTAAACAATTTGTTACTTTCTCTGTCCTTTGGCAACAAATTGGACAGGTTACCAAAGCTACTTTTGTAATATAATTATAAACAACACCATTTGGTCCAAAATACAGTATCAATGCTTATGAATCTATGTCAACCAATTTCTCTCTGAAGCCTGATAGCCAAAGAAATTTCTTGGGATTCTAATGACAGATAAGCAACTGGCAAAGTGATAAAATAAGTAGAACATTAGTTAGGTTTGATTTTATTAACTAAAGCATTTCTTTTGTCGTTAATGCTTTATTTATTTATTTATTTATTTATTTATTTATTTATTTATTTATTGCAACCATCAAGACTGTGGATGAACTCAGAAGTGGTTTTATGATTGCTCAAAATGACTAGTACAAAATGAATATTTTGCATTGATTTATTTATCCTAATTTGGGGGGGGGAGAAGCATTAAGGAGCAGAGATATCCTATGCAAACCAACTTTGTGGTTGGAACTCGGGGTCAGAGTTCTGCTCATTCATACATTAATGTTAATTCCATACCAGACTCTCTAAGTACATTTGAATTTGAGCCCATATAACTAAATAATTCTTAGTTGATCTTAATGTAAATCCAAAAGCTTTTATCTCTTCTAGCAAAACTACTCCATTGTAACTGAGTATAAAACATCCACAAAAACTGTAGCCTTTTAGGGTTCCATCTTTTCACAAATTCTTTTCTGTCTTCCTGGAAGACAAGAAGAGCTAATCTTACACAAATCAGCAGGATAAACTGTTCCATTCTAGAAGTTTATTTATTCTGATTGCAATTAATTTTATATTCTTACTGGAGTTCTAATCTACTTTTCAGCTTAAATAAATTTGCACAATACAATCTTTTGACAGATTATTCCTGAGATGTTAAAATTACTTGAAACTCTTAATGTACCACTTCCAATCAAGTTTGGTTTTGTGCCAAGGATAAGCTCCATAATCACATACTGACACTATGTGAGCTTCAGTTGACCACTTACCACTAAGCATTTAATAGAAATGGAAAAGGTAGATTCTTCGTGTTTCTTAAAATTTCACAGGAGCCAAATAAATTATTGTGTTTATAAATATCCTATTGTTGGAATAGAAATAGTTAAGTAGAACCTTTATGAAAACCATTCACTCTTATTCTTCATATAGTAGTAAAGGACATAACACTACATGAACAAAAGAGAAAGAATTCCCAATAAGCAGAAGCAGATTAATTTACCTTAGCATCCTAAATATACAGTATATAAAATAAACATCAAGGCATCACTAAATGTGGGAATATAGCAAGTCTACATTCATCAGGTTTTAGATTGATTGTGCTTATTCACTTTGTCAGAGTAGATTTCTGCTTATTTTCAAAGTTATGATTCAATGGAATGATTATTCCTTAGGGATTAGACCTATTGAAACTTAGATGAATTTAGTCTGCCATGAAAACAAAAAATGCAAATGTTTAGGACTCTTCAGTAAAAAAAAAGAATAAAACATTCTTTTATGCAATCTAAATTATTTAAATTATACTTTAGTTAGCAAGAACTATAACGTTTCTGTATTGAGCAAACTTAATAAAACAAAGAGGACAAAGTTTTCAGTTCTTCCATATTCAGTAATACTGTTTCTTCTCATTTTTCAAGATCAAAGATTTTCAGGAATTAATAAAACACAAAGCCTCAGTAGCAAAAAGCCCATCCCATTTCCAGATTTGATAGCCATGCCTGGATATGAAAATAGATAAATGCAACAGTTGCTGTTGATTAATTTGTTAAAGATATTCCCCAAAGTTGTACCTTAGTTATAGATAATTGATGGGTTTGATTAAAATTATGTAGCGCTAAAAGGGTGTTTGTGTGTGTGTATACATACATATACACATACACACATATATATATACACATATACATATATACAGTATATACATACATATATATACATACATATAAATATATATCTACGTCTATGTGCGTGTGTATATGTATATGTGTGTGTGTGTGTGTGTATGTATGTATGTGTGTGTATATATATATATATATATATATATATATATATATATATGTATGTATGTATGTATGTATGTATGTATGTATGTATATGTATGTATGTATAAATAAATGTATAAATAAATCTTCCTTCATATTTGTACAATCCTTCTTCCTGTCCTCCTCTGGTACAGCTACAGGAAGAACAGAAGCTTCCATTTTAAAAAAGCAAGTTTAGCATAGTGTTTGACTTCTGCTTTCCAATTAATCTTAATTATTCAATTAAGCTTCAGCTTCAAAAATTCTGATTTAAGCTTCACTTGTTTCTACTAAAATATTGAGTGAAAATAAACTATTGTATAATTTGCCCAAGTTCAAATGGACACAGCAGTCTGTGGTTATGACAGTGAAATTGAAGTTTTTTAACTCTTCTTTCATAACTATGCTAAACAGTCAAGAATTCAGGGAGGAGTTCATTCATAAAATACTAATCTGGATTTTACTATTATACTTAGTGATCTGTCAATTATAAATTTTCTGAGTTCAGTTCGAATAATGAACAGGAATTAATTAATTGTAACACGTGTTGTTAAATTATTTTTGTGCTTTGTTCCTGGATGTGTCATTTTCTCTTTTGCTAGTAAAAGTCTAATCCTACAGTTTTCTCCCTTCTCTGCAAATCCATGAGATGCACTACATAACGAGATATACAGCTTTGTCACAAACTTCTGCATTGCATCACTGTATAAGCAGCATCGCTTCAGTGTTTGAGACAGTATCATGCCAAAAATGCTTACATGTTGAGTGTACAGGTTCAAATGAACAGAAAAATATCAAATTCATTTAGAACTTTGCAATTTATAATCACACAAAGAAGTAAATAAACAAAGAAAGGAAAAAGGAGCTAAGAAGGAATAAGTAGAGGCATGTCAAAGTACTCAAGCTATAACCAAAAAGAAATATGTATAATGCCTTTGCTCGTCTTCTCAAAGCTGGACCAAAGCCCATTGTATGGTATATGCACATTGTATAGATATGGCTAAATGTTGCTGACAATCTTGCAATACTAAACTGTTACTGTTTAAAAAAAAAACTGTTCATCAATGTTTTACCTCAGCACTCTACTTGTACCCAGTTCATGAGCAACACTGAATTAATTTAAAATAAAAATAGAAACTAATTTCCATGTAAATGTTTAACTGTAAGAAAAAATGTCTCAGTAACATTTTGTATTAAGCTTTATGTCATGTAGTTTGCTTGTTTCCAGTTTGAACTTATATGGGGCACATTGTTTTATTTATTGTTGAGAAAGTGTTTCTTTTTTAACTTTAATTAATTTAAAGTTCCACAGCTTTACAAGCATCCCAAACTGTTGTCAAATTACTTCCCTTAAGTTAAAAAAGAAATAATTTCATTTAACTATAGTATAAATTAACTTATAATTTATATTATATATTTATATATTGGTCTTATATGTTACTGGGTGCAGTACAGAAATATGACTGCTGCATATCCTCCCTTAATTTTAATGGCACTTCTGCAAGGTTCCAGAGCCTGCTCCCTTGAAGAGAATGGAGGCCATGTAGCAATATGATATAGTATAGCTCCCAAAATCTACTGGATGGTCACCAGGGTCGCTTATGAAGCATGCAAAAGAGATCTGCTTTTCATTCAGAATACATGCATCAGGAAAGATGGCAGAGACTGTGATGGAATGTATTGGATTCTTCATTTTTGTTTTTAAAGAAAAAAGAAAGAAAGAAATTAATATGGAGAACTTGTGACCAAGAAGCCAAATGGTTATTTCAAACTCCTTATCTATTCTGACTTTGAAACCAAAGCTGATTTATCTGCACAGATTGCTTAACATTAAAAAAAAAAAAATGAACTGACAGAAACTGTACTTTAGAGCAATATCTGTATGGTCAGTAAAGCTGCACTTTGTGTATTTCTTAATAGCTTCAGATCTGTCACTTTTAATTTATACCATTAAAAAAATAAAGAATTGTTTGACATGAAAAATAAGATTCCATCATAAGTTTGTTCCTAAGTCTCTTGAATTATTCACAGAATAAAGCCTCATGTTATTTTACATCAGTTCACTACAAAAACCTTTTAAAAATGTATGAAAGAAATTGAAAGCTGGTTTCCACACGCAAAAATCGAATGAAAAGAGACAGTAGCTTTAAAAAAATTAAAGAATAGTACAGGGATAGTTTCCTAAAATAAACATACATATATATGTAGCAGTAATCCTTGATTTACAACCACAATTGAACCAAAAATTTATGTGGTTAAGTGAGATAGATGTTAAGTGCGTTTTGTTCCATTTTATGACCAGTTCTTGCCAGAATTCTTAAGTGAAACCTCTGTTGTTAAGATAGGAACACAGTTGTTAAGCAAACCTGGCTTCCCCATTGATTTTGCTTATCACATGATTGTAAAGGAGATCACATAACTTCAGGACACTGCAACCATCATGAGTCATTTGCGAGCATCTGAATTTTGATCATGTCACCATGAGGATGCTGCAGCAGTCCTAAGTGTGAAAAATGGTCATAAGTCATTTTTTTCAGTGTTGTATTTTTGAATGGTCAGTAAAAGAACTGTTGTAATGTGTGGACTACCTGTAAATATGTACAGGGTTTACAATCTCAGAAGAATCTAGTTTGAATGTGTGGAAATTTCATGAAATTTGGCAGTCTTGAATAGTGACAATTGGACCATTACGTAAGCGGGTGATTGACAAATACTGAGTATACATTTATTGACAACCATTAATAGGCTGTCTAATGTTCTGTGCAACATTCCAAGATAACAAGCTGAATAGCAATTGTTGTCACCAAAATGTTCCCAAAGACTAGGGCATCTTTGTATTATATTCAAATCACTCCCATACATCCACTGGATGCTACTTTTATTGTAAGAATGTTTATTTTTTTATATCTATTTTGAAGATTGGAAATGGAATTGCATTGTTGGAAATGGAAATAGTTACATTAAGAAGAACCAATTTGGTGTATTGGTTAAGGCACCAGGCTAGAAACAGGGAGACTGAGTTTCACTCCTTCCTTAAGCCAATTGGGTGACCTTGGACCAGTCATTCTCTCAGCCTTAGACAATGACGGACCACTTCTGGAATCTTGCCAAGACAACTACAAGGACTTGTCTAGGCAGACTTGAAGGCTGCCTTGACTCTTGAAGGCATTTTGAATCATTACTCAATTATTTATCTGTTTGTGTATGCATGTGTGCATGTGCACATATACACATGTACGCAGATTCAGACTTATCCTTGATCCTTACTAATGGTAAGAAGAAACAGAATTTGATTCAATGACTGACAGATCTATCTTCAAATCACAGTGCAATCACTGTGTCAGAAATTGTAAGGTGTTATAATAATCATCCTTACCATACGTTTTTGCACAAAAAACAATCAAAACAGTATATCTGCTTGAAATACTCCTCATTCATTATAGGATTTACTTTCCTTGTGAATTTCATTACATCCTCTCTTAAACCAGTGAGTGCTTTTAAAAATAACACATTGTAAAGGTACAACACCATTCAAAACTTATTTCTATGGAATTTAGCATTTATACTATTCTAAATGTTCTCCAAACATTTGCAGAATTTACCTCAGGTTTTAAATAATTAACATAAAAAAGAGTAGAACCACTCCTAAATAATGTTATTTCTCTCTGTTTGGATGCATCAGGCCTCCTCTTTCTGAGGTTGGACAGAACTTGGATGATCCTAAAATGTATATACTCAGATGGAATCAAGTCTTTCTTTCAATCAATTAAGCAAAAAGCAACATTGGAACTGTAAAAGTACAACTATTCCAGTATGAACAGGTTATATTATAAGCTGTGAAAAAATAATGAAAATTACTAACACAAAACTATAAAATATACAGTATATTACTGTAAACACTTCTTAAAATCTCTATGAAACACAAGAGTTAAAGTTTATCTTATATCTATACAAGCTATAGAGTAAAAAAAGTGTGGTGTAAATTAGTATATAAAAAGTAATAACAGTAAAAACTAATTGGCCAAATAAAGACAACAATAATACAAATACAGCAGTATAATCTAATAGTTCTGAAGGGTGGTCATTTCTTGGCATATAAAATAAGTTAGGATAGCCTTTATTGTCACTTTTTTCTGTGAATACACTTGCATACATTAAAAATGAAATTCTGATGCCTACTCTCTAAAGAAAATAAACATATACACATACAACCACACACATATACCATATTTTTCAGAGTGTAAGACGCTCCAGAGTATAAGACACACATTACTTTTTGGGGAGAAAAACAAGAAAAAAATTCTGCCTTCCAGCATCCATCGGTATTCATCTGACTAGTGTCTTTGCAGCAAACAGTAAATAGTCTGGTCAGCCTCAGCATATTATTGCAACCTGATTCAGCATGAGCAGCTGATTGGTGGTTGTATCAGCCCCCCAGAATGCCACAAATCAGCTGTTCCAGGTTGCAGGGATCATCGCAGCACATCACCGCTGTTAGCCGCCTCCATGCATCTTATTTTTGGCTTCTGTGCATCGCGTTTTTGGCCTCTGCATGCCCCATTTTTGGCCTCTCCATATCGCATTATCAGCCAGTTCCAGGTGGCAGGGAATCGGCTGAAAATGCAATGTTCGGAAGCTGAAAACGGTGTATATGGAGGTCAAAAACACGACACGCGGAGGCAGCAATCGGCACCGCGATTAGGCGGCGACAGTGGCAATGGGTGGCAGCAATCCCTGCAGCCTGAAACAACTGATAGGCGGTATTCCGGAAGGCTGATCCAACCGCCAATCACCTGCTTGTGCTAAATCAGGCTGTGCTGAAGCTGACCATGCTGTTTGCTGTTTGCTGCAAGAAGGCAAATTGCTGGGAGGCAGAGGCCGGCGGGTGGGGGCCAGCAGATGGGCAGGGCTTCGGCAGCATTCACTGTATAAGACACACACACATTTCCACCACTCCCAGGGGGGAGTGCATCTTATACACCAAAAAGTATGGTACATATGATATATAGATTAAATAGATGGTAGGTAGGTAGGTAGGTAGGTAGATGATAGATAGATGATAGATAGATAGATAGATAGATAGATAGATAGATAGATAGATAGATAGATAGATAGAGTACATACGTACACACACATATGTATACATATACACACACATATACATACAATATATATATATATATATAGACAGTCCATTTTGAATACATAGCAGAAAAGAAAAATCTTGAGAGTTAACAAGGTTGATACTATATGATACAAAGCTATTATAGAATCTAGTTGTTCTGCTTTGGATATCACGAAGCCTCCTCCCAGAAGTTAATTTTTTAAAAAGGTCATGGAAAGGATATGTAGCATTCCTGACATACTACATACCTGGACCAAGCAGTACTTATATGCCATGTCCTGAATAGAAAGAAATGAACATCCAATAAATTTTTCTGCTGTCCTCATCATTCTCTGCATAGCCTTCCTGCCCAAAATAATAATACTTCCAAAGCACACAGTACAGGGGTTAAATGCTACAGGTTCACCTGAACTGGTAGTAAAAAAAAATGCTTTAAAAAGTAAAAAAAAAGTTCCAACAATCGCTCAGCACAACTGATCTTCGGAACTTTTTTTAAACTATTCTTTACTACTGGTTCAGTGAATAGGTAGTTAAAAAAATGCTTTTAAAAAGTAAAAAAAAGTTCCTACAATCAGCTGTGACAATCAGCTGTACCGTGCAATCCTCTGAACTTTTTTGTTTTTTACTTTTTAAAGCATTTTTTTTACTACCTATTGCCCTAACCGGTATTTTTGTGTAAAGTGTGATAGTTTGTTTTTGAGCTCTCTGTGACTCTGAGGTTTCTGCTTGTTGCAGGGCCTATTTTGTGTGAATTTCAGCTCCTTTTGCATTGTGTGTGAGTCAGTTGTGTTATTTTTGTGTAACGTGTGATAGTTGATTTTCCCAGTCACATGACCACCAAGCCACACCCATCCCAGTCACATGACCACCAAGCCACCCAATCACATGACCACCAAGCCACGCCCACAGAACTGGTAGGGAAAATTTTTTTAATTTCACCACTGACACAGTAATATAATATGACAGGATGCTTTTAACCATCCTTCTATAGAAAGTGGTAAGGGCAGAGGAAGAAAGATGTGCTCTTCTCATGTGATGCAGAAAATGACACTGTTGTGTCCAATTCACCAGTATCTCACTGGTTAAGCTACCATGTTAACTTGCTCATCAGCTGCACACACATTATCATCTTGAATAAAGCACATTGCTGTTGTATCATCTGCATACTTCACAATATGGTTGGCAATAAACCTTGCACAACAGTCATGGGTCAACAGAGTGAACAATAGCGAACTTAAGACAAAGCCCTGAGGAGAACCTGTAGTCAAGAAAATGGTGTTAAAAATATTAGTCTCAACTGATACACACTGAGGCCTATTAGTAAGAAAACCAAGAATCCAGCTATGCAAAGGAGTGTTGAAGCCTAAAATGCCCATTTTCTCTACTAAATGCTGAGGATTTATTATATTAAATGCCGAACTAAAGTCAGCAAAAAACACTCACACACAAATATTTCTTTCCTCTAAGTGCACCAAATTCAGATGGAGAACAGAGGAAATAACATCCTCTGTGGAATGATTTGGATGATAAGCAAACTGAAGTGAGTCAAATGCTGGAAGGAGACTGGATACAATAAAATCCTTTATCGGCCTTTCAAAACATTTAATAATGTTGGGTGTAAGTGTAACCATACAATAATTATTAAGACTCATGATTAAAGACATTTTTGGTGGTGGCAAAATAATGGCAGTCTTAAAACATGATGGACCAGTGCCTGCTACAATGAAAGATTGAAAATGTCTGTAAGAACACAAGCCAACTCATCTGCACACTCCCTAAGAATACACCCAGGGATATTATCTGGGCCTGCAGCTTTCTGAATGCTAACTTTCTGCAATGTCTTCCAGACAGAGCTAACATC